AATTGTAAACTTCAACTTGGATTAAAATTTGAACTTAAATCCTACCAACCAAACATGGGCTAAACTAAGCAATTGAAAAGAAAATATCAGAGTGCAGTTGCACTTTCACCTTTTTGACTGCACTTTGCTCCACATATTCGATGGTCTGGCTAATAGGTGAACCTGCAGTGAGCTTCACATATAAGTTTGGCATCAAGATTGATGCCTATATTAAGGTTAAGCTACTCCCACCCACCCACTCTTTACCTTAGTGGGAAGCAAAAGACATATCCTTTACTTGAGAATAAACACGCCATCCTCATCTCTTTATCAAGTCAACCTTCAAGACATAACATGCACATCTGTGTTTGTACTTTACATATATAAATTTTTATCTATCAAGGTTCAACAAATCTCATTAATCTATAAGATTAGTCAAATATGCTCTTCTGCGTGTAATCACAAACAAATGTCTTAAAAAAGGCTTAGCCTCCTCTTCATCGTATAAAGATTATGCGAAATCACTTTAATCTCATGTGCACAATGATTTTATGATGCAAAAATAAAAATATGAGAAACCCATAATCACATTGATAATTCAGTGCTTGAAAAACCCGAGTTACCTATGTTTTAAAATTAAACTCTCGCTATCACCACAATCACTTCTTGATTAGGAAGCATCAACAGATTAAATTGGCTACTAGTACTTGTTATCAACATCAAACAAAGACACGTTGAAATCTTCAACTTACTTCATTGTCTATTAATCTTTTGAATTGCTTTAATTATTATTTGAATTCTTTCATTAGTTGACTTGAGTATTATTGTTTATTCGTAGAGAAAGTTGCATCTCATAGATAAGTAAAAAGGAAATACTTATCTGGATAACCAGATTCCCAAAGAAGTTGCAAATTATATATGTCAATCATTTTCTCAATAAGTGGCATCGCTATGTGTGAAAAGTGTCTAGGGGAGGCATTGAAAATGGATTCTCATGACTCAACAGAGATTCTCGTGCATATAAAGGACTCCATGAAAAATAATGCATGGCTAAATCATCTTCACCACCACCCGGGAGTTCTCTCTTTTTCTATGATATGAGTCGTTGAGGGGAGTGTCGTCTGGTGCGAAATCTTTCATATGCAAACTGCATGGTGTGATCTGGATGATTTCGGACCAGGCTTCATTCCCCTCAACCAAGAAATGAGCTCTTCAGAGAGATATGCAGCAGTTTCTTGATATAAATGCCTATATGCTTATATAAACCATAAGCAAGAAGGAAAATCAACCAGCAAGCACAATCATTCCCTGCAGGACTTGTTAGAGGAAGGTGATTTTCACTCATTTTCTTAACTTTTTTCTAAATGTCAAATACGTTCAACATATATTATTTAATTTTCTCTTTTTCTCATCATTTTCTGTATCTTAATTGATGGTTAGTATCATATGATAGTGATAGACGTGGATGCCAAGAAAGCACAAACAACGGACTGGACTTTATAAAAAATAATTAAAAAAAATAAATTAAGTCAGGCAAATATGTTTAAAAAATAAAAAATTTTACATAAAAAAATTTTACTTGTACATTTTATTTTTATTTTTTTACCTAAAGAAAATTGAAATGGATTGGGAGGGGAGTGGGCTAAGTCAACAATTAGATAAGCAAGTTATGATCCTATTAGATATGTATACTACACATAAAGATGTACATGTAGAATCTCATTCATTCATTCAAGTACATCATGCTTTTGCAATTTTGTATCATCAATCTTTGGTTTACAGGAAAGTGGGGAGGAATGATGGATAACTGGATTCAGGGTCACATCATGGACTCAGAAGAAATATGAACTTGGGAACTAGAAAGAAAAGAAAAGGTCAACTTTTATGTTTAACAAAAATCTACCAGTGCCTAGGTGGGGGGTTATGACATCCTCGTCTATTGATTGAAGAAAAGATCAAGGTTGAATATATGCAAAAGGTTTTCTTAAATTCACAAAACTAAGATTCATCCCAAAATTCTCTCTTTACCATAGAGTGCTCCATCAAACAATTTAAAGCTTGCTTGGTAGGCTTCTACTTTTGTTTTTGCTTTTTGTAAAAGAGTTTAAGCCAGTTTTCCCTAAAAACTTTTCTTACCGGACAAAGCACTTCTAAACAATTACTCAAACAGATTCAAAAGCAGGTTCTTAATCTTAGAAGTAGTTTTGGGCTTTTCAAGAGCCAAGTTAAAGGGGTCCTTAGTCAGATTATGCTACAAGTAAAAAGACATTTCTTTGATAAGTTGTTTGGCATCCTCGAAATGATAGGTCTAAACATGATCACGAAAAAGAGACATGCGAGAGACGCTTATCCTTTATTCCATTAAGCTCAATGTACCAAATATGCCATGAAAGGTTTTTCTTCCCCCAAGATAAATATAAGCGATCTGTGATAAATTTTTCTAGCTTGAGGGCTCATATTTTCTTTTTGACGAAGATGTGAGTAAATTATTTTGATGAGCAAAGCTATTACTAAATCATTTTAATGTAAAGATGACTTTTTATAGATTAATAATTGATGATCAGTTAGGAGGCGTCCTTCTTTGCTTCAACATAAAATAAGTTTTTTATTTTATTTTATTATTATTATTTTTTTTTTTCCTGATAACTTTCATCACCATGAAGGAAAAGTGAGCAAGTCTTCTTTCCAAGCAGCGTTCACTTCCTAGTCTTCAATTTGCAGTTCAGCTTCTCCACTTGATTGTAGAATTTGTGTTCTTACTTTCATCTATCCATACACTATCAAGTATCAATTTTGCCCTTGCATTTTTTGGGGTTAAGTATTAAGATTTTTAAGAACCATTATACTTAGTTACCTCATCCCTATGAGGAACACATTTTCCATTCTCTCTAAAATATCAGGTCGACGTTTAGGATGTGAAACATCACACATCTCAGTTGCCAATATCCCTATTATGCTTCTCAACAAAGAGAAACCAAGTGTGGCAATACTACAATGGATTAATCAATCAATGTCATGGTCATGGGATTTTCTCCAAAGTCAAAATACAGATTTGTCATTACTTAAGTGACTTTATATCATATGATAGCTCAAAAAATTTGGGCCACTCAAATAAAGATCTATTCAAATAATATGATCTTGATTGGCATCACAACCACAAGGGATTGTAATCTAAAAGATAGACCACGCTTTAATCGTTATCTACAAATACTGTACAATATTAGAGAAAATATAGTGCTTTCTCCAATCATTTGCTACTCATAACAACCACACTATTGTAATTTTTGAAATCTTAGTTGATCTGCACATTATATTTGCCTCTTTCGTGGTTAAAAATATGATATGTGTCAGAGTTTACCGCACAAGGAATACCTAAATACATGGTCTTATAGCTTCTTAAGATAAGCTTTGGTGGTTGTAATAGTAACGGGAAAATATGCTGTAAGGTACGCATAAAATTTTTTTTTCTTTTCCAGGTCTTTTTTATTTTTCTTTTACTATTTGTTGAGTGATGTGGGGTGGGGGGTTTTCCACGAGTACTTAACGTTGAATTCAATTTTCCATGTTCATCAAAACCTCATCACAAAGTGAAATCATGACAACCAAACTGATAGGCCCAAGTGTCCATGATAAAGTAGCATAAAAGCAGTTCATACAATATGCAGACAACTACTATCTAAAAGAACACCAGTAGAAGCATAATTAAGATTTTTTAGTACCATATTTGCAAAAATTTTGTTAATAACTGCATAATTGGCCATTTTACCTTCAACGAAGATACTCCAGTTCAGTATATAAAGCCTTGTGTGATCCTAAGTAGCAGGATACTTTTATCAAATATGAACATGAAGAAGTTGAGTTCCACTCAAGTCTCTTTGAGAGTCTTCTGCATTATAGGACAATGTGACAAATCAGAAAACAGGTTTTGGCAGTCCCTGTTTTCTTTACGCCTGCCTTCCAACCAATTTCACCACCATGCAACTGCAAAGCATAATTTAGATAAAACAAATTAGCCAAAACAAAAACGAATGTGGCTTTGCTTAAAGTAGCTTCATGTTAAGGAGATAAAGGATCATGTTTAAGAATTTAATTGGCTACCTATTATGCCCCGAAGCTCCACCTCCACCAACGAAAATTTTTGACACCACCACTGGTTATTAACATCATAACTGCCCTACTTTAAGTTCTAAGATACAATATGCATCAACATTTGCATCAAACCATTATGGAGATCCACAGGAAAATCTTACATCCTTGCAGTATACATATAACAAGTTCACTTGGTAAATATCTAAGCCTTTCCGATCAGGAAAAATTATTGTTTTCCATTTAATCAGAGAATCAAATGTATCTTGCTCTACAGCCAATAATATTGAACATGCGACTCCAGTTATTAACATACAGGAAACCTGCAGCTAGTCATATTATGTGATAAAATATGTACCAACAAGTATCAAAAAGCTATATGAAACAGAATTTCATGTGTAAGTGGAACTATCGGTAGTTGCAGAAAGTTTGAGGCAATGTAACTCAAAATATAAGAAAGCATCATAAAGAAAGACTCAGATGCTGATAAATCTAAAGCACTGTCAATAATGGAAAACCATGGAAACTACTTTCCCAGTTCTGAGGTTGCAATTGCCAAATTTTGATATTCATAAACGCCAAATGGGTGGGTCCATCATTTTTAGTAGTTTTTAATCCTGCTTGGGGAGATTTCAATTCTGTTCCCCATCTTCTGGTTGACAACTTGAAGTTGATACATTTTTCACACAAGTGATGGGATAAAATGGTTGCAGTGATAGCTGTAGCATCTTATTTTTTGAGTCAGCCTTGGTTAGAAAATTTTGGTATCAAACTTATATATTTCAAATAATTCGCATCTTTTGTCGATAAATCTATAACAAGTGATAATGTGGATGCATCAGGCAAAATATTTCTCTCAGCCATTTTCTGAAGAAGTCCAACTACTTTTGCGGCCTCATTATAATTGAAAAATCCTTCAAGTTTGTTAAAAGTGACTACATTGGGTGCCCAGATCTTTCCAGAGTGTGAAACAGCTCCATTGCCTCTTCAAGGCGATTGTTATTGCAAAATCCGTCCAATAATATATTATATGTAAAAGAATTTGGAGTCACTCCATGGACTTCCATCTGTTGAAAAATGCCCACGCATCCTCAAAGTGAAATAGATTGGTCAACAAAGTGTTGAATGTAATTGTATCTGGCTTGTATTCTTCACAAACCATTACTTTAAAAAGCCTCATTGCCTCTTCTAATTTATGGCTTTTACAATACCCATTGATCAATGCATTATAGCTCACAACGTCTCCCTTGCAGCCTCTATCTGCCATAAAAACAGACAACTCCCTCGCATCACAAATCCTATCCTGTAGGCAGAACCCATTTATCAATACAATATATTTAAAAGAATTGGGCTCTTCACCTCTTTGAATCATCAAGTTAAACAATCCACGTGCTTCATTGGTCTTTCCCTCTTTACAAAGCGTGTGTATCAAGATATTAAACAATATCACATCAGGACGAATGTCTTGATCCACCATTTCAATAAAGAACCGCTTTGCCTCCTCCCACTCACTGCCTTCACATAAACCATGAATAAACCACTTATATGTAATCAAGTTTGGCCTAATTCCTCTACCCTTCATCTCCAAAAACAACTGTTTACCCTTGTCCAACAACCCCTCTTTACAAAGGCCGTGAATAAGTGTGGCATAACTAAAGTTAGGCTTAAATCTTAAATCTTAAATCAGACCGTCCATGCCTTTTCCCCACCTCTTTATGCAAACAAAGAGCCATCTCTGCTTTTCCACTCGTACATAACCCCTTAATCAAAGTCCCACAAGTCCAGGTAGTTGGTTGAAATCCCATTTCAGTAATTTTATTGAACAACATAACTGCATCATTAATCTTATCTTCCATACACAGCCCCTTGGTGGCGAATGTTGCATTTGCAGCATCTGATAAAAGGAGCTTACGGCATCATTAGTGTTGATTTCAGTTTGTTCGGATTTTGAAGGGCTTATGAATAATGATGAAAGCTTACCTCTTTGGCCAGTCATTGAAATCACAGAAGCTGCTGGACTTGTGCGAATCATTTCTTAAGCTTCATACGACAACAAGAGAACACACAGACAGAAAGCAAAGACCCACGATAATTCATGGGTGGAAGTGGAATTGGGAGATGAATCGGCAGCTCCATTCTCGTATAACCATCATCCCACCTTATCGAGTTGATTGTTCCAATGGTTACTGGGTTCATGTTTTTCATTGGTTGTTGAAGTTTAAAGTATCGATTTTTGGTTAAGAACTAAACAATGGTTACTGGGTTCATGTTTTTTATTGGTTGTTGAAGTTTAAAGTATCGATTTTTGGTTAGGAAATTTAGTTCTATGTCTTTGATTGATGACTAAAATTTAAAATGTCAGACTTTTGGCCACTAAGCTTTAAAAGATATTGTACATTACTTATTTAATTTTGAAAAATATTGTACATTATTTACTGAATTTTGAAAAATGTTGTACATTATTCACTGTAAACTCGATATTTTTCAAAGTTAAATAGTTATCTTAGTGAGTAACATACGGCATATTTCAAAATTCGGTGGTCAAAACTTGACATTTTAAGTTTTAGTGAGCAATCTAAAATTTGGACCTAAGTTCAGTAAGCAATCAAAAATATTAATCTAAGTTCAATTAACAAAACTCAACATTTTAAACTTTAGTGATCAATTAAAGACATGGACCTAAGTTTAGTAACCATTGGAATAATTAACTCCACCTTATCTCTGTTACAATTTTAAAAATTTTCTATATTCTTTCAATATTATATTTGTCAAATTTATTTATTTGAACATTATACATAATTTATAGAAGGCAAGGTTGGGCGTAGTCCGATTCGATTTGATTTTAACGAGAATTGAACCAGACTCGAAATTTTCTAATATTTATTAAATGGAACCGTTCCAGGTTTGATTCAGTTCGATTCGGCTCGATTTCCAAATTCCGTAATATAATAAAAAAAATTATTATTTATAAGCTACATTAATTTAACTAATGATATGTTTAATCTTAACTCATACAAAATAACGTGATCCAATCTTATATGTCTTTTACATCTCTCTTTGTTGAGTTCTTCACAAATTTGATTGTTAAAATCATAGGAAAAGAAAGGAAGCGAGCTCACAATAATTAAGAAATATATTGTTGAACTTCAATTCAATTTCTTCAAAACAATAGATACGACACTATAGCAGAATAATAAATTTGGATAAAACTTAAGTCAATTTGATCAAGTTAGGTTTGGACTGAAAACTAAAAATATGAATATCATATTTTTTAGTTTGAGCTAAAAAAAATAAAAAAAAATGCTTTTTTAAAATAAATAAATTTAAAAAATTAGGGAGATTCGATTCTTCGATGTTTGATCTAAAATCGAGAATCGAACAAAATCTGTCGGTTCTCGATTCAGATACCCGTTCGGATATTTAATTTAAGAAGAATCGCTCGATTCGATTTGGATCTGATTCGATCGGTTCAGGTCGTGATTTTTGCCTGGCCATAGAAGTCAGCAATCAAATTTACAATATTTGATCATTGAATTAAGCAATTTATTCAATGTTGGTCAACCAACATTGTTGACAATGTTAGAGGTGACAAAATTCAGATCATTGATTTAAAAAACAATTTTAACAATTTTAAAAATGGATGGACGTCATGATACCAGCAAAGATTGTATCTATGATTGTATAAATAAGATTGTACAAATAACATGATTTCTTAAGTTGTCAACAATTGTAGGTCGTGATGGGCATCGAGATCATCCAGTTTCTCCATTTTTATACCCCTAGACTACAGTTCCAAAGTGATTGACATCTTCGTAATTTGCAATGTTCACTTCATTTTACCGTCGACTTGAGAATTTGACGCTTGCGGAATACATTCAGCAATTAATTTTTACAATTTATTATCTCTTCTCTTGACAAAAAGCTCTGAAATGTCACTATCAACGCTAGCCCTTCCTTGAGACTACTACTAGCAACGAAGCTCAACCTAACTCGACCAGTCTACAACTTCGAATGGCCAGGCCACTGCCTTGGGCCTCATATTATAGGGGGCCTAATCTCTTCTTTTTTTTAAAAAAAATGGCACATAAAAGAGGAAAACGAACCGCCTTTCTTCATAAATCCATTTATTCCGTTTTAATCGTCTTCTCCAGACTCCACAAAGCAAAAGATGGATTAATCCCTAAAATTAAAACTATCGGTGAGGCGGTGAAGGGTGACCCGTGACCTGTCAATGTAACTGCAAAAATTCCAGCGAAATTAGCAGACAGCAGGTTGGGCCTCTTTTTCACTATTATTATTTGAGTTTGTAGGTTTTATGATCAGATTCTGACCTTGCTTTGCCTTTGAGTATTGATTTCTCATTTCTGGTTCCATAATTCATAATTGGCTATACTGTTGCGGACTTCCAGTCTCATTGAATATTTGAATTAAAGCTAATTTCAAGTTTTCGTAAATGGGATTGGAAGTTTTCTAATTTGGGTTTGTCAATAACTTATTAATGTTTTGGAAATGAGATTCGAATTTTGGTGATATGCTGATTCAATTGCCACTGATTCATACAGAAAGCATTTACAAGTGAGTAGGACAAGGATTTGAAAAGCTTATGTACAAGCATTTTGAAGTCTCAAATGGTAGGCTGTGCATGCATACGACGTTGAGGTAATTATAAGCATTTGTTTTACTTTGTCTGTATATTTGTATAAGTTGAGCTAAGATTGTGAAGTACGGATTTTGATGTTAAAAACTGAAAAATCTGGACCTAACTAACTCGAAACTAGTACTAACTATACGTGTGGTTGAAAATTTTGATGTTAATGGTCATTTTTCAATAATGAATTGATAGAATTATTCTTGAAAATGATGTGGTATTTTTCTTTAATTTTCTATTGCAAATACAAGTGATTGAAGAGAAGTATTGGTTATGAAAGTGAAAGTACATCTTATTAGTTATTTAGTTCGTTTTCTTATGTCTTTTTCAGAATTATTTTTAGAGTCGAAAGTTTTAAGGAAAGAGGTATTTGCAAACATTTTTGGAGCAATTGATGTATTGGATTACATCAAGAGAATGAGCTATTGTTTTACAAATGCTTAGATTGCTTATAGAGTATTATTGATTATTCATGTCACAGTTGCCTATGCTGAAAGAAGTTTTTCAAAGTTGAATTGATTAAGTCTTATCTTCGACCATTCATGTCACAAGAGCGATTGAATGGATTAGCTATGATTTCTATTGAAAAAAAATATGTTGGAAAAACTTAATGTTAATAGTTTGATTACTAATTTTACATCTCAAAATGTGAGAATATTAAATCTTATGCTAGCCTAATCTTTCGAGTTGTTAAAGAAGTTTTATTTTGCTATTATATCTTTTGAATTGTATAAAGTTTTTTTTCTAATATAAAAGTGTTAATTATTTAAATATTTACATATTGTTAGGCTTGTTTGTGTTGAGGAGCCCCACAATAAAATGCCTAGGGTCTCTAAATTTCCAAGGCCAACCCTAGTCTCTATCCTGAACATAGTTTAACAATAGTTTAGCTATGCCTTATCTGTGACAAAGATGTTGATTTTTATATTGAGGGGATGTGGTGACATTTGTAATAGAAATCGAAATATTATTTGTAGTGAACTCGGTGGCGATGGAGTGAAAAACACAAAAATAAATAATATAATGAGCTTTGTTTCACAATAAAAAAAGGTGGAAATTACAAATTCTAATAGATTAAAAATCCTCATTTCAAAAATATGATGCCATGTTTAATATTTCACAAATCAAAATTTTTTTAAATTAATTAATATATTTAAAAATTAATCTAATAAATAATAATTTCAAACCTAATTTATTCATTTTCTGCCCCTCTTTCTCTCTCTCTTTCTCTACCCCCGATACTCTCTTTCTCTCACATATCTCTCTAGGGAAGTTTTAGAAGGCAATTGTGGCTTCGCTAGCCGACTCTCTCTCTCTCTCTCTTTTGTTGCTCATCTTTCTCCTACAACCCGTTGGTGACCTCTCTCCACTGCACGAAGCCACCGCATATCGATGCGCTTGCCATTGCAGATCATGGTGTTTGCGAGGCACTCACTGTTGCAAAGCGTAGTTTTAGATGCTGTAGACTGGATTTGGAGAACAGAATCGAAGCTCCAGCCACAGATCCGATCGATAAATGGACGTTGTGCTCGACCGCTGTTCTCAGATCGTTGCAGATCGTGGTGGTTGCAAGTGGTTTTTTTGCCATTGGTGGTGTCTTTTGGTTGTCGTGCAGTAATTTGGCAAGGTGGTGGTATTGCTAGAGGTGCATATAGCCACGACTTTGGGGATTTTTTTGGGTGGAGATTGTGACTGTGATGTCGTAGTGATGCAGGGCTGGTGGTGGTGTCGGGATGGCATGGGTGACGCGATCTGGTGGTTTGTTTTTCATTGTTTTGGTGATTGGTTTCTATTAACATGGTGGTGATTTGCGCTGCAGATCGTGGATATGTTGTGGATCTGTGGTATTGGTGTGTGGCGACGACGGTGGCAGCGATGATTTGGGACGGTTGCGATGCTTGTGGACTGTGACTCCCAATTGTGGCGTTGGTGTGTGGTGACGATGATTTGGGGCGGTTGCGGTGGTTGTGGACTGTGACTTGCAATTGTGGTGTTGGCGTGTGGCGGCGACGATGATTTCAATGAAAATTGTGATTGTGACTGTGTCTGTGACTCGTATTTGTGACTCACAATTGGATACGTGACCTGAAAATCGTGACTGTTATTCACAATCGATTAAGTTGTGACCAAAAAATTAATCGTAACCAATTAATCTAATAATTTGAAATGAATGAATGAGTTGTGACCAATAAAAGTGGTTGTCAACAAGTGGTGGTGGTGGGCGCAGATTATTTGGTTGATTGTGACCATTAAATTGGTTAATATGTGACCAGTAAACAATATGTGATCAATGAAAAAGATAAATTGTGACAAAAAAATAATGTGTAACTTAAAAAATTTATAATTTGTGACCTATAATGTTTGTTATATGTGATCTATAAAATTTTTAATTCGTGACCTAAAAATAATATGTGACCTATAAAATTTTCGATCTGTGACCAAAAAATAAGCTGT